ATGACAATGACAACCTAAACTACCTGAGTCAAAAGGTAAGGCAGGGCAAGGCAAGGCAATGCCAGGCAGAGTTGACCGGGGTGGACTTGGCGAAGAAGTGGGCAGAAAGACGAGGATCTTTTTTATTCAGGTACTCAAGGGGAAGAGAGAGAGAGAGAGAAAAAGGCACGAGCACAGGAACAAGGCAACGGTAAACAAGGCACAAAGAGACAAGAATGGAAGACAGATAGAAAAAAGGACGCTTGCTGGTGCTGCTGCTTGTGAGAGTGAGAGGAAAAGACTTGGTTCCATGATTTGACTGGTCTCTTGCATGGATGTGCCTGGGAGACTGCGGGTGGCTGACAAAAGGTTGCTCCTAGCAGATACTCTGTACAGTATAGCACAATAAGCAGCTGACTCTTGTATCATCCGGAGCTACTCCTCTACGTCTACCTAAGTTATTTGCCATGTTGATCTTTTGTTTCTTCAATCTCTTTGTTACACTGCCTTTGTCTTGTTAATCCTCTCTACGGTGTTTATAACTATCCCGCCCGTCTCCCATCGGAATCTACAATAACAGCCTACTTCCGAGAAACAAACACAACGCATCATGAACTGACATATCAAAACGCAAACAGACATCATATCACATCGCAGCAGCCCTTCACTGCCGTCCCCTCGTGGCCTGACACGTGCATCACTGTTGTAGGCGCCCCGGGTGATCCCTCCCACGAGGACCAGGCAGTACAAAAGACCAAGTCGAAATAGAAGTGGATTCCGTCTTCTTCATTTTCGCAACGGTCTACGGCTGTGTAAGGTAATCTAAGCCCATAACACGAAAATAGCTGTTTTCAAACCTGGTTGGTTCCCTCTTGAGGCTGAGCTTACTGTACTTTTTTGCTGTGTCGCAGAAACGGTGTGCTGAGCTGAACCCCCACCAAGATCTGTGAGATGATTTGGCATGGGCTGAATAATCTCGAAGATTCTTACATGTTCCCTCAGCGTCATTTGAGGCTGATAGATCAGTTTATTCGGATATTTTCGTGAACGGGACGCGGGATGTACAACGTGAGAATGAACAAGCATCTTGTGAAACAACATGGCACTGATGTCATTGTTTACTCGAGGACAGGGGACCATTTTTAATTAACGGCCCAACCAAGCAAATCTGTTCCGAAAACCCGGAGCAGAGACCGTTGAGCCCGGAGATGTAGGGTAAGCCATTTTTCGTAGGGCAGAACCAGGGTTGACTCCACTAACTCCAATGAGGCAACGGTCATCTCCAATTTCATCTCGTACTGTTGGCCTCTTCTTCTGAAAGTTGAGACAAGCAATTCCGAGCTTTGTGACGTCTTTGTCCACTTCTTTCACACTCCTTCTGAAATACTTCTTTGTATAATCGCTGAGCTTTGATCCGCTTCTCTTCTACGCCTCTTCACCGTATTCTTGGTATCAGACCACCATGGACGCCCTCAAATCAGCCATCACCCCCATCACGCATAACCTCCCCGCGCCGATTCGCGACTTGGGCGTTTCCATCATCGGCGAGACCTGCTACAAATCTCTACTCCTCGACGTCAACATCGAGGATGCCGATTGCATCAAGTTCGCTGTCTCCAAGGCTCTTGGCATCGGTATCATCGCCGCTTCTTCCATCGTCAAGGTCCCCCAGATCCTGAAGCTCATCAACTCCAAGTCCGCCGAGGGTGTATCTTTCCTCTCATACCTTCTCGAGACGGCGTCGTACATCATCTCGCTCGCCTACAACTTCCGAAATGGCTTTCCTTTCAGCACCTATGGCGAGACTGCTTTGATCGTGGGACAGAATGTTATCATTTCCGTGCTTGTTCTGAACTATAGCGGCCGTGCTAGTCTGGCAGCTGTGTTTGTCGCTGCGCTTGCTGGAACTGTTGCTACGCTGTTTGCCGAGAATGTCGTGGATGCGCAAACCTTGAGCTACCTCCAGGCTGGTGCTGGTGTACTGAGCGTTGCCAGCAAGCTGCCTCAGATCCTCACCATCTTCCAGCAGGGCGGCACTGGTCAGCTTAGCGCTTTCGCTGTAAGTCAATCTTTTTTCTCCCCTCTTCGTTTGTACAATGACTAATGGTAATGCAGGTCTTCAACTACCTCGCTGGTTCTTTGTCCCGAATCTTCACAACCCTCCAGGAGGTCGACGACAAGCTCATTCTCTACGGATTCGTCTCCGGCTTCGTCCTCAACGCCATCCTTGCTCTCCAGATGATCTTCTACTGGAACGCCCCCTCTGAGAAGGCCAAGGGCAAGCAGCCTGTTGCCCCCATTGCGGCCAAGCCTGCTGTTCTGACACCCTCTTCCTCTACCACTGCTACTCCCAAGAAGAGCCCTACCACTCGCCGACGTGGTTAGATGGTCACACCCTTTTTGTGTGGTTGCGTTTGCTTTATAGACTCGATTTGGCATAATCATTTTTAATAAGATTTTACTGTTACGCGCTTTGCTTCATGTTGCTTTGCTGTGTGATTTTGACATGCATTTATCGTCAAATGTTACACGAAAACGTGTGGTGCTAACTACCTACATAAACGTGTTGCACAAAACCTACCTATGATGCTATCCGAAGCAGTGGTGCAAATGGTATCCCCCTTATATGCTGCCCGTTGAACGCCGTTGTAATAACCCAAAGTGTCGCTAATCCTTTTCCATTACCCAATTCCATACAATATCCAATCAAAACATTGATGCAGTGACTCTATTCCATGTCGCACGTGTAGGTCGATCGTTTCGACCTGCGCATTGGAGACAACGTCGCTGTTCGCCAAGGTTGCTCACAGAGCAGCTGAAGCAAACATGCTTGCCACAAGCACTGCACGAGTGATCCTCGTTGTTGATACCGTCGATGTCCATGCCATCATCGCCACTGTTGAGACTTGCACCGCAGTCGTCGCAGTTCGAGGGGGAGAGTTGTGTTTGGCCCAGGCTGGTTGTTGGGGCTGAAGGCGCCGAAGAGATGTTCCAGAACCGGTGGAGAGATTGTTGGTTTGATTCAGGTCGATCAGGTTCGAGTGGTGCTTGTATGTTCTCAGACGGAAGTTCAGTGTGTTGATGCTGGCTCTGCGCAGAGTAAAGCATGTTGAGAGTATGTTCTGAACTCAATTAGCGCATGTACAGTGCACGGTTACTTGTATAAGAACCTACCATGAATCATCTCTTCTGAAGGTCGATTATCGCGGAATCGCTTCATGGTTCGACTGTGAAGATGAATTGGAGTCGATGCCATGATCGCGAAAGGGTTGGTGATGGAGTTGCCGAGTCGAGGAGGAGAGTCGAAGGATGAGACGGATGAGGGAGAGGCGCAGAGCTCAGAGACGGATCGCTTGCGTTTGTGGGCCATTTTGGTTGTGGGAAGGACAGGTTTTTGAGAGTATAGAGGGGAGTCGAAACAATTAGGGTAATGTTACAATGGATGTAAATAGAGAGGATGAGGTGAGATGGATCAACTTCTCTACAGGAACTGAGACGAGACTGAGACTGTGGGGCTCGAGTTGGCTGCGCGACATGACGCGCTTAAGTGGTGACGTTGGACGCGTTAATAGCCCACGCCAATCATCGCGCTATATTTACCTACCTTACCTATCCTGGCTATCCTTCTATAATACACAAAACGTCCATCTTGGGACGGGTGGATGGGATGGATGTCTTTATATTGGCACTTGCCCTGCATGAGGTAATCTACCTTAGGTATAAGAGGACTTGAGCTGGGCGTGGAATTTCCTCTCCATGAGAAGTCTGCATGAACCACACATCTATCTCTCTATTATGAGCAATCTTTCTACAGAACAAATTGTGACTATCCTTAGTACAATCCCAGGTCTACTTGTATCATGTCTAAGTGCTTGGTTCGCATACCTTGCCCTTCAGCGCCGCCATGTAACATGCAGTCCCTGTACCAAGCTTCTACGGATACTGATATCTTATTTCCGAGCGAGAATCTGCTCCAGAAGCCACCTGCGGCCCACCGAAATATAAGTGGACGAGGGCACAGAGTTTGAGATTCTGCCACCAACAAGACTCGACAGGCAACACAACTTGTTGCACCGGACCCAGTTGCAGTGTGACATGATGGACATAAGCTGTCTGGATTCTGGGGTCAGTCTATGTCTGAACGTCTTTATGAATATAAATGTGCTAAGTCTAGTGCTTGCACAGAATAAGCAACTAGATGTATTTTGTTAACCATGTTAAATCCTCTGAAGTAACTAACAGCAGAGATGAGGCCTCCCCACGTTCATGACGGGAACTAAAGTAGTGGAGCCCACCTCAAGCTTGTTATTCCCGTCAATGCTATCCCAAGCGCTCATCGCAGTATAAGGCAATACTCGTTGCATGATTACGCTGCATGATAAGCAGCCTATCCGTCAGTATGCACACGAAGATGGCTTGGAGTTGTTTCCTCTGGTGATGAATGGACACGGCGAGAGAGACAATGGTCGACTGTGCGGGATACATGGCATGCTTTGACGCTCCTTGCATGTCCGACTCAGCCGCAATTTGCTTGTCCTTTGCTCCACCAATTGCCTCCCCCATTAGCATCATCATCCGCCGAAGCAGGTAGTTGATGGAGAGCACTACGCAGGGCATTACGGACTCAGAAGGTAAAGTATATGGGCCGTACTAAACCCGGAGATCGATACAACACCTTCTTGTCTTCTGCCTTCTCTCTTGGCACGGCTGGGAGCGAATCGTACCCCTGAGAGACTTGCCTCATCCATTCGCGCGGGCATGTAAGCGTTCTATACTGTTTAAGGGTCGCAGAGCAGGCAGCTCGCCACACTCCGATGAGGCAAGTCACAGGGGTAAGTTCAGCTCCACACCACACTAACCATCCCCCTTAGCCCCCATCCCGGGGCGTCATCTCAACTGAAAAGGTCCATATTGGATATATAAGGTTGTCGAAGCCAACTTAGTGATGACATGACAGCAACCACCGAAAAACACAAAGAAGCTTTTGATATTCTTCCGGTCCACAGACGCATTCTTTCAATATGGTTCAATTATCAACTGATGCTGTCATCACCCTCGTCAGCACAATTCCTGGACTCATTGTCTCTTGTCTAAGTGCCTGGTTCGCCTACCTAGCACTACACCGAAAACCCATCCCCCAGAGCGATGTCGAAACAGCCGCGATGCTCTTCATGATCCCAACGGCATTTTCTATTCCTCCTAGGTTCGCACTTACATGTCGCCGCCTTTTAATGAGTTGAGCCTGACTTGTTTGTCCTCCAGTGCCTTGTCCCACACCGATTCAGAGAGGACATTGACGAATGGCGATGCCCTTCAACTACCACCCGCAACGAGTCAACAATGCATTGGGTCGAGCCACTCTCGAGTGCTTGCACATGCTGAACGTGTATCATAATATCGTCATGAAAATAGGATACAAATTGAGAATGCGCTGCTTTTCAATGCCTCAACATGGGCCGCGGTGCATACGACACCACTGGTGTCCCCAAGCCACTGCCCCTCACCAAACGAGGCTTTCTCACTCGGCTCACATACACTACCCATCAACCAACCCGATACAGCTGTTCACTATGAGTTAGCTCTCAGTGGAAATGATTGCACCTTAATGGACTATTGCCAACCTGCAACGACACATGAGGAATCTCAGGAGAACGGATTCATCCACCTAAAAGCCTTCCTCGCACGAGGCCACTTCTTGGACTGATACAACTTGTACGCAAAGAACAGTCCAACGCACGACACAACCAAGCCAAGAGTGGAGTAGACGATGGTGACGATTACTTCGGTCGACATTGGAAGGGATCGAGCGGAGAAGTGTTGTAAAGGACAAAATGGGGGTGTAGCGGATGTAATAAATAGGGACCTAGGCCTCAGGACCCAATAGATTATATAGGCAGGTAGGTATGTATGAATACAGTAGGGCTATCCTACTCCATACCGTCGATTGACTTACAGGTGGTTTTTCTCTTTCTGTATCCTCCAAGCGTTCATCAGTGCCGTATTCTCTCCCTGGGGGCCCTTTGCCTCGAGGCTGTGCTGCAGTAGTAAGTGACACGAGTTGCACATTTGCCCTCCTTTATGGCTGCACAGAGTGAAACACGGGACACAAGTAGACTTTTAACTTCTATCCTAAGGAGTGAAGGGGGGACTTGAGTAAATCAGGTATTATGTAGGGACTTTAACATGATATAGGCACCTACCCAGTAATTCAGTAGAAGTTTAGACTGATAGGTTGCTCTATCCCCGATAATTATGGAAGATGAGGTACCGAGCCCTTAGACAATGACAGTGAGACTCCTTCCACTCTTCATTAAACATTGTATAGGTACATCCCCTACTAAAGTTGGTAACCCTTTTCGGCTTCTGCTTTCTTCATCTCCCTCTTCTTTTACATGAATTTGGATAACGATACATCATTGCTCGTACAAAATCGAAGCGCCAAAGGGCTCAGCATAACCTCTTTTATCACGCAAAAGACATCACAGACAATATGAGTCAAATCAAATATACCACCACTATACCCCAGATATACAATACAACCATCATCATTGGAGCTTGTAGAGTGGTTCCTCGCGATGAAGGCACTGACTTTGACATGGGCCAATGTTAGTGGAATGATGCCCTCATGGATCAGAAACGTCTCGCCCAACTCGGTCACCGTCAAACGTGGCTCAGTGCCCAGATTGCTGAGGGTTTTATCCAGATTGCCCCCAGCCAGATGATAGGCAGAATACTCCTGCACATACGAAACGCTTGTGATGAAGCAAAGATGACAAATTTGCCCACCGAGATCCTCGTTATCCTCTACGGCTTCGGAAACCCTGCAATCGGCTGTCATATGGATTGCACCAAAGACCTCCTTAAGCCTGGTGCAATGATCACTCCTACCAATATTCTCAACGCATTGCTCCCAGGCCGAGATGTAACTTTGGCCATGCGCGTGTTTACTACGAAACACTGGGTGCATGCTTACGGGCTGCACAGAATGAAGCTTGACGAAGTTAAGAAGGTTTATCCAGATGCCTACAAAAAAGCCAGCGAGGATGGAACATTGATCAAGCAAAATTTTACCGAAGAAGGCGCCTTTGAATACCGGAATCCAAATGAGGAGAAGATAATATCGGAAAAACGTCACTACGAGCTTGCGCTCTGGTTTCGAGAAGGCCTCGAAAAGGACACAGATGGTACCACGGTAGTCAAGGACAGAATATTAGAATTCATGGACCCGTATCCTCGGGAGACAAAGCTGAAATACTTGGTCAGGGTAGCCTCGTTGGCAACGGTAGTGAACTTCCGGCTGTCAATGGCATTCTTGACGGATAACATGGTTGCTCACTTCAAACTCAAACGCCCTATGCAGCAGACTTGCCTCGAGTGGGAGATGTGGAGGTGGCTCGAACGCCAAGCTAATCTCACACGCTCTAATGGATATTACGACTTGTTCAAAGATCAGATGGATATCGAGGACGGGGCCGAACTACCATGTAGTGGATATACCCGATTCTACCTTTATCTACGTGCAGCTCACCATGAAACATACTTAGCTGAAGAAGAAGAAGGGAGACATACAGTAGAACACATCGAAAGTGTCTTGGAGGATATGGAACTTGTCTTTGATTACGTACTAGACAAGGTCCAGGAGGAAATACTCGATCCCTGCGACGAGATCATTGAAAATACGAAAAAGCAGTACGGAAATGAGGCACAGTGGGATATAACTCAGCTACCAGACTTTTGGCCGGAGGGTGTGCAACGTGCTATGCGAGCATTAGTCGACTTGATTTATGATCAACGTCCAGTAGGCTACACCCAGGAGTAATAATGAGAGCAGAGATAAGGTAGGTAGGTAGGTTAGAAGGTATAACAAGCAATGCGATTGTCCATCATTCCCTCTTACATAGTAGAGACCTAATTTAAACATGTACTAAGTTATCTATACTATGGGAGCAAACACGGAACCTAAATAATATTGAAATAAAATCAGCAAAAGATATACTAAAGCCTTAGGCTAACTTACCTAAGTATTTGTGTTAATTAAGATCAAGATCTGGAGTTTTCTTCATTCCCTCGCCACGCAATTTATGGGCTTTGGATTAAAACTTTGAAAACTTGTTGAAGAGGCTGTGGCTGGTTTATAAGGTAGTTCTTAGCAGGTTAGAGTTAATGTTAAAATTGGGTGTTTTGTGTGCTTTGAGCCTGATCATCCTCACAGACGAGCAGCAGCCACTTATTTATACACCTTTAGAGTCAGTTATCAGGATATCTAGCTTTTCAGCTAAAAGCAAGATCCTAGGCAACAGTGAGGGCGACGAGTATTTCGCCTGTATGTGTTTTTTTGGTGTTCTTTACCTTTGTGGCCTTGAGGCTGAAGCCTCTTTTTAACCCCTCAGCCCTATCACAGTCTCCTTTGACCAGCTGATTCTATCTGTCTTGTCGTCATGGCCAAGCCAGAACGGACACTAGACATCCAAGGAGAATTTACTTCCCTATTCTGGAAGAAGCAAAGCTTCTCATTGGTTCTTGAAACTCACCCCAATCTTGTAGATTATCCCATTCGCTCTTTGTAACGATGCCATCTCTTATGAACTATAAGCTTTGGTATTTGGGGTCAGGAGACACTGCCAAGTTTACTCTGAAAGCATACACGTGGGTTTACCACTCGACGATTGGATTCACGATGATCTTGTGCTCAAGATCAAGCTTTACCACTCTGCACTGAGATGAAAAGGTTGTTTCAAGCCATTGGGACTTTCACTATAAGTAGGGTCTTATCTCCTCCCATCATATCTGTCCTGTTCTGTTCAGTTCTGTTCTGTCCCATCACTCACCACCACCTTTGGTCATCTCGGGCCCTTCTTTGCACACAACTCAACTCATACATCATATCGCCATGTCTTCATCTTCAAGTCAAACGACTCCTCCAGGCTCATCAGAGGCCCCCAGCGGAAGTAACTTTCTACCACCCTACGAGTCAGCTAAACTGTCTCACGAGCCTATCCCAGAGCCAGCGAAAGTCATCATCGCCGAGCCATTTGGAGTCATCATCGAGTCCGCAACGCCTATACTCGCAAGGCCTGTACTACTACAAAACTCAAGACATCGCCAACCTCATCACCCGCAGGAGGAAGAGACGTCCCGGGCAGGGTGCGCATCTCTTTTCTGGGGTCTTTTCATTCTCGTCGACCTCTTTATCGCTATCCTTCTCGTCTGTTTGCTCACGGGTAAACCCAAATCACCGTGATCATAAAACGGCACGAGGGTTGATTTTGTAAGTCTACCTTAGGGAGAGACTTCTGGGATGCTTCTGACATTTTGTGCAAGCATGTTCAAGTCAGGGATGTTTAAGTGGCGGGAGTCCGATCCAATCTTCCATCTGCTTACCCAGCGGTCATGGACACTTCACCTCAGAAGACGGGGTTGGTCACTGGAACTAGGTAGTCGACTTGTGATGCGGAATTTTAGGCCGTCTCTGGATAGTAGCCTGTGGAGGGATGGAGTTGCGTGAGCTTACATGCTCGACTGAGATCGTGTCAATGGGGGTCTTTTTTTCTTGAACACGCTTTTATAGTCAATGATTCAAGATTCTACTTCATACTCTAGTAGGGTCTTTCATCCCTTTCGGCTTCCTGCACTACTGCGTATAGATCTGATCGGAAACATGTCCCACGATCCCCAAGTAACAGATTTCGCCTTGACCAGTTGCATAAAAGACTCAGCAATCAACCTTTCGAGAACAGTGTTTGTCACGATATTGACTTAGAAGTACACTAGAGACTAAATGCCACACATAATCAATGGTTCAGTCTTCCCGCACTGCTCCCCACACCATAAAATCTGATATCCTCCCCCCTAAGGACGAACCACAAACTTTCCAATCCCCCCCTTACTCTTAAGAGTCTTCTCACATCCCCTCCTTACTTCTTCCAAATCATCCATGTCCACCGCCGTATTGACAGCCTTGACCATCCCCTTAGCAACCATATCCGCCACAACCTCCATGTCCTCTCGAAGCCCTGGATGTCCCGATATGAACTCATACTGAATCTTTGTACCGCGCAGCTTCCACGAGTACCAGATCTGCAAGAAGTCAAGGACCCAACCAAGCCATGCGGGGAACTTGGGGCCGAGCATTTCTGCCATGACTTCACTTTTGGGGATGCTGGCGATGCTCATGAGGATGCCGTCGGTTTTGAGAACGGAGATACTTTCGTTGAGGGTGGAGAATTGGGTGCTTATTGCAAAGTCAACGGTGCCGCGGCCGATGAGCTTGACGATGTCTTGGGTCTTGTAGTCGTAGAGCTGAGTGACCATTCCGGGAAGATACTCTTCAACCAAGCCCATCTTTGGCGTCGAGACAGTCGAAATGATCATCTCGGCACCAAAATAGTTCCGTGCGATCTGGATGGCCGTGTTGCCAGATGCACTGAGAGCAGCGGGTATGTAAACAGTCTGTCCTGCTAGGCTATCTCTTCCCTGAAGCTGCAGTCCACGCTTGATGCTCTGGTAGGCAGTTACTGCGAGAGCTGGCACAGCAGCGGCTTCTTCAAAAGACACATGATCCGGTTTTTTGTGAAGAAACTGTGGCTCTGTCAGGGCATATGTCGAGGCCCAAGCTGCCGGGGGTCTAGCGAGATGGGGTTTCTCAAACTCCATGCCGTAGACTGCATCTCCGACTTTGAACTCAGTAACTACAGAACCAATCTCTACAACTACGCCAGAGCCTTCGATTCCAAATGGGATTGGGAAGTTCCTGTATTATGTGAGCTTGTAGCATGCGTGAAGAGTGGTTGTCGACTTACGAGGCCTTGTAGAGCAAGTCGAACTGTCCAGATGCAAACCCTGTTTCACCAGTATTGATGGCCACAGCTTTCATGCGGAGAAGAAGCTGATTTGGCTTGGTGATTTTGGGTATAGGCTGTTCTATGACCGTGTACTCTGCTGGGAGACACTTCTTTGGTGCCACAAGAGTTCGAGTGGTGGATGGTAGTTTTGACATTGTGACGTTTAGATATGTCAGTCAAATAGAAGTGAAAGAATGAGTGCGTTTGGTTTCATCATATCAACAGCGGACGTCAGGTCTTTAATCAGTCCATTATCACGCGACGGCGGCGGAGGTCGGTGCCTCGGCGGTTTGTGGGGACATTTCGGGGAGGGCCCACCGAAACCGCCGAACTCCACCACCGGAGACCTTTCGGTCACTCGACTACCAATATGAGGAGCTCATATTGCGGACTTTGCTGTTGGTAAGATTACCCGGTGGAGATTTACATGACTTGAGACATGAAAGGCATATCCAGGAATAACATATCCTTGAACACTTTTACCAGGACATTATCCGCATTCATTTTGTCCTCGAACATGTCAATCCGAGACCAGATCCCTCGATCTACGAGTGCTCATTCAGAGCAGGACTATATGTGATCTCGATTTCATATACTACATACATTTCTGAGAGGTTCCGTTACCACAGAAATCCTCTGTCGCCAGATTGCCATCAACTACAGTGACTGCAACAAATCTAGGTGACCCTTGCTACCGTGAACGCCTTACAAATAAAGAGCAAAACTCCTACCATCATACTTTTCGACAAAGAAAAAAATGAACACGGCGTTGATCCTGTCGCATGCGAGAGCGAATAAACCGCTCGTTTCGCGTCTGTGCCGCACAACGACGGTCTTCACCACCCTCCATGCCAAGAACTGTTACCCTCCCAGTTCGGGTCTCGACGTCTGTTGTGAATTCCATACCATCGCGAATAGCTCGACTCATCTAAAACACAGTTAGTATCAGAACGGTACTCAGACACGAAAGTTTATGTACCTCTCTCACGACTGATGCCAAGCTGGTCCGCAACATTGACATACCCCTCCTGCACGGCGCCTTTATCCTTCTGAACCTTTGCTACAAGCTTCTCGTCACCCTTCCAGACACTGCGACACATGGGGCAAGTCACTTTCCCACCAGCCTTTGTCTGCGCCCACATCCTGAAACACTCCTCGTGAATGTTCTGACCACAGGCGGCAGCGCACCAAACGATAGACTCTTGGTTCTTCTCGTCAAGCTCACAGTAGCAGATGGGACAATCGCCATCGATGGGCTTCCGCTTGTCGGACTCTGCTTGTCCAGGGGCCGAAATGGGAGGCGCAGAGGCAAAGATTGATTGAAGTTCAGTGCTCAGAAGCGCGAGCTGGTAGACGAGATTAAAAGGCGCGTTGAGAACTTGCTTCATGACCTAAGTTTTGTCAATAACGCGATCGAATAGTCAGGTGCGATACTTACATAGAGAATATGCTTGCACTGATGGCCCTTCTCATGGTGAGGGCACGTACATCGCGGCTGTTTTCCAACATGAACAGTGTAGATGTTTCCAGTCGATCCTGTCATCTCAACATCTTCCTCAGGGCAGTCTTGGGTTCCTCCCCTGACGCGATTAAGCACGTAAAAGCGCTGAGAAAGAGCCCGGTCGTAGATCTCATGAAACGACTGAGGTGGCTTAGGTCTGAACCTGCGGAGTCGCTTTTCTTCATTTGCGACTTTCGGTTTCTTCACTTTCTTCTCCTTCTCGGCTTGATACGAGACTTCTTCTTCAGTGATTTCATGGGCTTTGCGCCTCATTGGTGCTGGTGGCAAAAGTGCATCATGCTGAACGCTTGTAGCTTTCTGGGATGACTGACCCGCTTTGACCGTGTTAATCAGATCTGGTGAGACTGGCTCTTGCGGTGTCTTGAGATTGTCACGAGCAGCAGAACGCAAAATTCTGGTTGATTTCACACTGGCAGACCCCATTTTGATGAGCCTTTTGTTTGTCCTGTGATAATTTGAGAGAGATTTGAGGGAGACGGAAAATGTGATTTCGTCGCGACTGCCTCCAGGGTATGGCAAGTTCCCTTAGCATTTTGGGCAGTGGCGTACAGTTACATGGTCACGTGCCACTCCTTCCTCATCAGCGTTTGGACTTTACACGTCAACGTCAAGGGCAACGTCATCTCAAAAACCCCTGTGAATCATCCAGCGTTTCAAAAAAGATAATTGAGTTCATTCAAGGATGTCGATTGAATTGTGAAAGAGATGATTGGTGTTTTCTTTAATGGAGTTATTGCATGCGACCTCAGTTACAGTGCATTGGAAAGCGATTCACAAACTTCACCATTTAACAAAGACATCAACTTAGAAAGGAACTGCTCTTTAGCATTGGTTTATCCTATCTTCTTCATCCACTGATCCATCTCTTTTGACTGGCTTCATACCGCTCATGATAGCCCAAAAAGAAACATAGCCAAACGCCCCGAAACAAGGGACTAAACCCGCCCCTGCTCTCCTGAGGGAACATAGATGCCCCGCCGTAATGCGCCTCCTATACATAGAAAAATAACAAAAGAAATCGAAAGGCAGGTTGATGTAGTAGGTACAGGCTGTGCCGCAAAGACGGCAGCCTCTTTGAAATGGTTCAACGCCGAGTCTATGCTATGGCTGTCAAAGGTGTATAGTATTAGACATGAAGGGAATAAGTGTGTGTGGCCGTAAGGTCATCGAAGTGATAGTATCATGGAGGTCGTATGGGTGAGGGCCGTGGTACTGTCATCGAGGTATCGGGTGTTCATCGTACTAAACCACGGGCGCGGGTATTATTGTGTTTGGCCCGGGTGTTGATTTGATATGGCTATGGTTGTCGTCAAGAAGCGTCAACGTTCACGCAGCTCTGACGCGATGCCTAGGAAAGTGTCGCAAGATATATGCGCGCGGCTTTCAAGGCAATGGGCGTCGGTGGCTGGGATCGCGAGGCTGCTGATATCGACCAGATTGTTGCTGCTGGGCAGTCAACCATTCTGTAGAGCCAGTCTGTCGACCAGGTTGCTCAGCAGGCAACTTGGTATCGCTTCCGCTTGCGCCAGTGTGGTTTGATCCGCCAGGGGATCCAGGAACCAAGTCAGTTACGGCCTGTGCAATTGAGGCCACAACGTAGCCTCGGAGTTCGTTGTCTTCCCGGCTGTCTTCCTTCTCCAGTCGGAATCGCTCGTCCTTGTTCATGTTGGATCGGCGCATGTTCTTGATCTCTTGCATAACATAGAGCAGAACCTCTTCAGGACATCGGTTACGCTCAGCAGCGTGCTGGTTCTTGCGCACGTATCGTCGAGTGACATCAGTAGCGCCATCAATGGAGAATGCAATGCAGTAGGACATCTTTTTGCCCCAGCCCTCAGCATATAGGCGAGGGTTATCCCATGCTTCCTCACAAGCATCCACATGGACCCATCGCTTTTGGTGGTCTGAATACACCTCAGTCCATACATGGTCCTCGGCGTTCCAGACCCAGCGAACACGGCCTCCAACAGCTCGGCAAAGCATGCTAAAGCAGTTGGCCCATTCGCCAACACGTCCTCGTCGAGTTTGTAATAACCGCCAGACATCACCGTAACGAGGGAAGCGCTCGAAAGCACCACAATGTTGAGCAGAGCATTGATACAATTCGACACGGAGGGCGCCGCAAGCACTCTCTTCAGGTGAAGGAGCAGTCATACCTCGGGCGATGGTGGGAGATAAGCAGACAGGGCAGGGTGGGTTATTGACCCAGCTAAAGAAGGATCGCTTAAACCATCTATCAACTGTGTTAGTCAATCCATCCAAACGAGATCGGATGGAAAATGACATACCTTAATAATGCCCGGATGACACAGTCTTGGTAACCCCATTCGGGTCGTCGTCCATCACCCATACTCTCAGCCTGAGCTTGCAAGACCTGAGTCTCTTCCTCGGCCTCGCCATAGATACGATCTAATGGGATGGTTTGCAATGCCTCGTCCAGCAGACCGGGGTTCTCGTATTTGGTTGGTGTTAACGATAAGCTGATGAGGAGGTTTCTGAATTTTTGAGAATCGCGATCACCAGCGGCGGGAGGTGTAGGGATCTTGGGGAGATGTCGTAGGGCGGAGTACGAGGGAAGACCAGGTCCTTGGGATGTCGAGGGTCGGCTATCGCTGGGGAATGGAGAGCTTCGCATACGGGGAGACTGCTCTCCCAAGCTCGGAGAGCCTTGTCGCGATGAGGCACGGAGATCATTCATGCGCTTGTCACGCAACAAGCCTTCGAATTGAACCCGAAGGTCTCGGGCCCATTCCTCGCCATACTCGCCCGCAGGCGTACGTTGGCCCGCCATAATTGTTAATATGTGGTTTTGTAAGTGTATAAGTTCGTGGATGAAGATGTTGAGGATAGATGTTTCAGTATATGTCGTTGCCCAGATACGTGGCCGGGCTAGGTAGTTGATGGCTCAATTGTTGCTATTTACGAGGCCTAAGAAACCTCGGAGTGAGATATGTCGTCGTAATATTGATCGTAAATTGTCGTCGTCAGCAACGAGAGGTGCGTGATGGTAGGCCTGATTGCCACGGTACACGCGTTGTCCAGATGAATCCTTTTGGTCCTCAGAATGACCAACTGACTGACTGTTGCCGCGGGAAGTGTCGCTTGCTCTGACCAGTTGATGACTAAGGTAGCCAGAATCGTTTGTTTTCTTTTTTCTCAATCGTCGTGAGTATCGTCGAATACTCCTTCGTCGTAGAAACAAGTTGAGTCGTTTCTTGTGTTCGTCGTCGCCGAGAGTGAAGGGTTAAAGGAGAGGAGTTGACGGCTCGCGAATGGCTGACCACTGCAGGCAGGTAAGAGAGACAGACAGCACAAAAGAGGAGAGGCAGGAGCAGGCGGCGATGAGAATCGAGGGTGGACCAGGGGAATAAAGGGAAAGGGACGGGGTGTCTCGGGAGGGTGTGCGTCTCGTTCGCTCTTGCCCACTCTGGGCCAGAGCCTACGATGGCAGTTTACGCGTCAGCAGTGAGCGCCAGGCCAATGAGGGAGCCGACTGTTGCTCGAGGTGGGGGCCGCTGGGCGCAGGGGCATGTACTGGTACAGCTGCCTCGTACTCTTGTTCAAGTGCTCTGGGAACTGAGAGAACGCCCACTGAGCCTTATAATGATGGCTGAAATGATTGGTCTGTGATGAGTTGGACGGATATTCAGTGCTTGCAGGCTCCGGTTGTTATTTAATATTAGGGCCTTTGAAGCCTACGAATATTGATGCGTGTCGCTATCGTGAACGATTAAATGAGCCTCCCGAATATGTAATACATTTTGACTCAAATTGAATGAGAACGGGTCAACTATTCTCAAGTCTACGCAACAGCTTCATCATCAAGAGGCGAACCTAGAGGGCCAATCTCAGCAGGCCAGGGCAAGTGTACGTAGTCTTTTTCCAGTGAGTGATACACTTTGAATTGCGTGCGTACGTACGTCGACCTAGGGAACACCGAAAAGCGAAGTGGCGCCTGGCCTAGATCCTCGTCATCAGCGAATTAGCAAGCGTCAGCATTTGCTTGTACTACATGTACTTTTTGATAAGGTCAGATGGAGAAAAGAACTACAAGAGGCGATACGATGTTTTAACAAATTATGGGAATCTGTATGAGAATAATGGGAAAGGAACGACAATCTGTATCCGTGCTGGCTGTGGCAATGTGAAGCCTCTAACTGAACCCAGCAGATGATAAGCGCGGGGAAACCGTCGACTCGCGTTAAAAACGATCGGCCGCTGTAAAGATGGAGTCAGTTCAATCGAGTCTTCAGAGCGAGCAGTCACTAATTCGACATGGGTTGTAATGTCCGCGTAGACTACGGTGTACGGAGTACTCTAAATTTTGAATAAAAATACCTAAACTTGGGATCAGGTTCAGTAAGCAGATGCTTCACTACCTATGTAATCACAGACTTGCCAAATGGAATATCAAATATTGAGTACTGTTTCATTTTTGTTCCTCTACGGCAATATGGCGCAAATTCTAGCACAGAAACCTCTCGAGGCTGCCAAAGACCGCTGCAGTTTTCTGCGAGTCACTCGACCCTGGGGCCCTGGACTAGCAAGTATCGGTACTTTACTGGGAACGTGCCCCTCGTCTTGGTGGGCGATGACGAGGCAGTGGTGAGGTCCTCTAAAAAGCCGCCCGAAGAAATAGTATCGTGGCACAGCCCATACTGAGCCACGCTGCCCGCAATCCTTTTTCGCAATACGTAGGACAAGGCATGCGCAGCAACATCTATCCAAGATAGTCGACGAGACATAGTAACTATCCGCGCTTATGGTTTCAATTGTAGGCCTCTGAGGCATTCTGTATTGGCCTCTGTATCTTGGATCTCACTAGCCACAGAGACATCTGTCCAGTGGCGGTGCTCGCTATTTCCAGTTCCACCAGATCCACTTTGACTCGCGGCCTCTTGTCCCTTGTAATTCCACTGCCTCCATCGACTTGCATCACAACCCACCAGAAAGTTTGGATCTGTTTCAATGATTTCCCTATGAGGACATGGATACCTACATATCAGATAAACACGAAGACGTTATTTTCCGAGATTCGATACCCAATATTCGCAAATTTTATGTGGTTCACAAGTGAAGCTATTCCACATGGCCGATGGGGATGACAATCTGTGCAGTACACACATATCGAAAGAAACAACACAGAACAAGATGCTCAGTAGCTTGGTACTGAGTACTCCACAACGATCTGCAACATGCTTCTTCATCTCTCTATGTATACCTGATACTCGTCGATCTTGGGTCAATGTATCTGCCTTACGCCTTGCTTGTATGGCACAGCTCTAGGCACCTCAATCAAACCACAACCACAAACATTACAGACAAACCATCTTGGCCATCTCGATAGAGCTCAGTGGGCGGGCTTGGAAAGAAGCTTAACTGGCTTTGGCGTCTGCATCGCGTGCGCCTGCCCCTGGAAAAGCGGCCTCGTCCAATCCCATCATCCCATTTGACAGGCGCTCACAGAGAGAGCACACACTCGAGGGACGACTATTTGCTTACCTGGCAACGTTACCACTGAACGGAATTAACCCTGCGTCTCTAGAGCTTCTTGGCAGCGGGAACGTTCTCTCAGCGTCGCGTCAAAACTCAGTCACAGGGGTCGAATCGGAGCCGAATTCGACTCTGTCCGTTTTCTCAATTACCTAACGTCGAGTTATGATCTACTCACCGTTTCCCACATCGAATTTTAGCAGTGTCACACTGTCGCCCGAAAAAGACACCCAATCGTCAATCGAGTTGCATCTTCAGGCTCAGTCATGTACAGCCAATCATTCTCAGTTGTGGTCCGCCGATCTTGTTGCGCTTACGACCGGGGGGTGTGGTCTAAGACACCGCCAAAGGCCGCGTCATCTTGACTTTGGCTTGCTTGCGTACATGCAAACACCAATATCTCAACTCTATCAGAGAGTCTACGCAACGCGATCTTCTTCAATTGCCACCTCCTGATTCAACAATTTCCCAGAGGCACTTTTGGTGTTTTGTGAATGTTTGATGTGCTTCTCATTTTGCAGATTGATTTACACGGTTTGTTTGATAAGCATTGCCAAGAGGACAAGAGACATATCAAGTGATGTGGCCAGAGTCAACGGCCGGATCAGATTACGAAGCTAAGAATTTCGCTTCCGGGAAGTCTGTGCTACGTACGCTCTCATAGAGACTTGAGATAGACGTCCGGATGACCTCAACTGTGGTCCAAGCTGGTCGCCAAATCGCTTCAACGTCTAGATGCCGTTCTTGATGTCAATCACTCATCGTTTGTTCGACCCTCTCATTGGCAACTCACTCGGATCTTCCCTGGGATCAACTCAGATTTGACGTGGTTTCCAAGTTCTTTCTCTTCTCGGTAACTCAACACTTAAGCATGACGAAGCCACGACTGGGGATTACCGGTTGCCGATACGTATCCCTTGAGAACTACCCATAATTACAATCAAGCAGCCAGTGATTCACCAGAAGTATGAGTCGTGTGGGTTTCTCATGAGTTGAGGATTCAGGGATCTTGGGCTATACTTCAGCATTGAAGCCTCCCGAACCATGTCACGAACGATCCTGTCATCTCATCTGTCTGCCACTTCACGGATGGATCCCTCCACCCACTTTGACACTCTTACACATGCCTTGAAAGGCTTGACATGGTCTCTCTTACATGAGGCTATTCCGGCAACAGGCTCGAATTGGTCAGGCTAACGTTCTTGGTCCTCCTGATGCCCAGGCCGCGCGTTCCATGGGCGAGTAATGGGGCCTCGTTAATAATATTTGGACGATTTCGGTAAGTTGTGCAACAGTCTAGTGTATAAACCCGCGGGCTCTTATTTCTTGATTCGGACCCTTGCTTCTGGTCGTGTAAGTCTAGAATTCTAGTTTGTAGGTCGAGAAGTCACTCTCATCTTGTAAGTGTTCTCGTGACATGATTCAGGTATGAGTTCGTCTGATCCATAACACTCCTCCTATATGCGAGACATGTTCAGCCTTTTGAAACAGGGACTGGACGAAGGGAGCAGGGACCTCAAACCCTATACACCACCCTCCAATGATATGGCAGCTCCCGAAGAGTGATGTCGTTGAGTGACAAAATCTCTTCGCGGTCACAACCCAGACATGGGTACACGTATGCAGTAGAAACCCGATATCCCAAAATTTTGATTCGATAGCCCGTATGCTAGTCTACATAGCCAGTTTAAACATCCAAATCTACGAACTAGGACCATGCTTTTTGAGTCCAGACCCTTTTGACAACCATCATCCTTGCAACTATGCTCAACACGGCTCTACGATCCATAAGCTTATCACCCACGACGTATATCTACATTTTTCGTACTCCATTACTTCCTCCACTGCTCAACGCTGAAGTAGCTCTCAGGCATGTCCACATCCCATGTTGGTCTCTCCACCAAGGCAATCTCGAGAGGCTGGCTTGCGGTGCTGAGAGGGACGACGCCGAAGATGGGTCTGTACTTGAAAGTCATCCACCAGCTCTTGCGTTCACCGCCAGTCTCGGCGGCTTCGAGATCTTTGCCCACTTCACGACGGTTCCGTAGCTGGGCGAGTTCACCTTCAGGCTGATCCGCTTCATCGTCGCTATTGGCGTCCTCGGGTCGGGGGGCATCCTCCATGTCGATGTCATCCCACTGACCAGCTGTATGTTTGCGAATTTGCGAGGGTGCGATGGCGCCTACCTCCATTCTGCCTCCTGCTCCGGTCGAGGGTCCTGTTCTCTTGCGCTTGAGGCTCTGCTTGCCTGGGGCAGTGGATTCACTAATCTCGCCATCGAGAGGCTTAGGAAGGTCTTGAGCCAAGTCGAGCATAAGGAGAAAAGAGACACCGTAGATCCAAGCACGAGAGCCTTGCCAGAAGACACCCTTGGCTAGATCGAGGAGATCCTGGACGGGAGCGGGCAGGTCCTTTCGGGCATGACGTCGAGACCAGGGGGTGAGAGAACCTTGGAGAGGGTGGAAGGTAAGCAGGTGCCACGATGAGGTAATGGCGAGAAGGGTGTAGTCGTCCACATGATCGGATGAGCCATTTATTCCATCAGGCGAAGCTCTGGGAGAGATCTTGGTCCGAGGAACATCGGCTGAGAAGGACAGAACCGTAGCTGCAGAATGAAGTTTGGGTAGTAGTTTAGCACTGGGGTTACGAACCCACTTCTCAACGCCCTGCGATGACTGCTCCTCTTCTTCGTCTGAAGAGTCACTCTCACTTGAAGAGGACGCGTCATCCTCTGGCTTGGTCTTCTCACCATCACTCAGAATCCAGGTGTCAATGTAGCCCGCGACGTCAGACGCAGCGAGCATCTTGGAGTCTGGAGAGAAAGCGACCTGTGTAATGGTCCTGTCGTAACTGCCAAGACCTCCATTGAGAATATAGTGTGGGATTCCTCGTCGTAAGCGTGTGAGTCTTTGTACACGCGGTGAGAAGATGAGAGATGTTCTGGGGCTGACGGGGTCGAGTGCGGCCATGACAACGCGAGAGCCTTCCTGAATCGCGCAGAGCCATTGTGCGTTAGGTGAGAGCTGAACCTTAATGGCACCCACACCTGCAAGCTTTGAAGGGAGCTCAGAAGAAGAGACCTTGACGTCTGAAGGCTTGATAGGATCTTGGTGTTCTAATCTGAAAGCCTTGACGTCGATAGCAGTAGCAACAATCAGAAGTGAACCCTCATCATCGATAGTTGCTGAAGTAATATTCGAATCACCCTTGACGACGATCGTCTTGATAAGTTTGCGGTTCTGGTTGATGTCGAAGTCATCGCCTGCGCTGTTGAACATGTCGTTGGCTGATTTTCGGAGAAGCCAGATGTGAATCTCCCTGTCCCACCAACTCACAACAAATCGAGCCTTGGGCGCACTCAACAAAGGAGCCTGTTGAGGCAAGCTGGGCATCATACGGTGGTTTTCACGTCCCATCTCCTTTAGGGGAACCACCACGGGGTTAGCATCAGGCCCTATACCGAGTTAGCGAGAGTTTAACGATAGGGACAGCTTGTCTAACCTCCTGAGACAATAACACTGATTCTACCACTCTCAAAAGATGCCATAGACTTGACATCGTGGTCGTGGTACCTTCGGCCCCAAGCTTTGGCCCACCGAGATCCAGCACCATTGTTCTGCTTGTACAGGATTGTTCGTCGGTCCATGCCTCCGCTAAGGATGGATGTGCCGTCGGCACTTATCGCGAGACTCAAGACATCTTGCTTGTGGCTCTGAATGCGCTGCGATTGTGTGTATGTCTTGCCATCCCAGATGCAAACCTGGCCAGTTGAATCGCCTGAGACAATATTGCCGTTTGGCAGACATTTGACAGACCAGACAATGATGTCTTTGGAGCCACCAACGAGATCGGAGCCCAGTGTCATCCTACGCAGCATGTGGCCCTTTGTGATATCGTACGCTCGAATTGTGCTATCGGAGCAGCCGACGATGGCGACCCTGCGCGACTGGAAGGTGATGCTGACCATCTGAGCCTTCTTGGTAGGCGATCGCACGAGAACTCGCTGGAATCGCAGATCATCGTCCTCGATGGAGTACATGACAAGCTCGCCATCGATTGTACCAGCGATAAGCTTGGTGGGATCTTGAGAATCGGCGCCGAGTGTACCTTTGTCGGATCCAGTAGGTTGAGCAGCCATGCACCAGATATCACCATGTTGACCGCTAGCGTGTCTCTTTGGCCTTCCTGTCTCAAGATCCCATTCGGTGACTGTGGAAGTATAACCTATGCTGAAAAGACGGGACTTCCCAGCGACAATGCGCCCTTCGCCAAGCTCCTGGTCAGGCTCGTTGACCCAGACGAGTCCATCAACACTTCGATCTTTACCGCCTGGAATGATGAGCTCCTGGTTCCAAGAGCCATCCGTAGGGTTCCAGATTTCAATGTCGCCGTTAGCTCGTCCAATAGCAAGTCGCGCAAGATTAGCCTGTACTGCTGAGCGCGTCTTGGGGTGTGAAAAGGCAATGGCGTTAATGGCTGAAGGTTTGTATGGAACGAATCGACATCGATGGATATCCATTGCAACGGCGGTTTCTGGGCTCTGAAAAGAGTCCTCGGTCGCGTGATAATTCGTAATTAGGTATTGAATCGCTCAGATACGAGAGTCGGCTGAAAGATGTTGCCCGAATAGAAATAGAGACGTTAACCTGACGCCGCGTAGCCAGGCGTAGAGAGGGATCCGGTTCAGGAAGAAAATTAAATGCTAGCCTCGCGAACTCGACCAAATTTTTTTCTTTGGAAAGAAAAATAAGGTGTGGTCATAGCGCACTTAGTGCCCCTCCATAATCCACTACGGCAGCCGCGACCAACCCCTCACCTTCCCTCAGAGCGTGCCCCTCTGCTTCCCTTCTTCTGTGGGTTCGTTCGTGCTGTTCTAGATCTCTTCTGAATGCGTCACATTTCCGTCGTTTAGACCTCTTCTCATGACTCAACGGAACCTCACGACTTCGCAAACGGCATAACCTACAGCGAACCGACAACACAACAGTCGTATATGGTCCTGTCTTTTCAGTATCGTTCTCATCCTTAATCCACGTTCTTCCGAGCCGCGTTACCCACGATTTCCTCGATTTGCTTCCGCATCTCCGAACTCTGGTCTCCAAACACTATAAGTCACCAGCTATAAATACCTAGGGAAGAATATCTCCGCCGAGTCCGACCTCGTCATAACAACACCCACAAACCCCGTCATGGATTTCAACAGCTCCTCGCCCTTCCCGGAGGGCGTCATCTCCTTCCTCGACACTGATCTATACAAGTTGACGATGCAATGTGCCGTCTTCAAGTTCTTCAAAGACGTGCCTGTGACATACGCCTATACCAACCGAACTCCCGACAAGAAGCTGTCGCGTACCGCCTTTAAGTGGCTCCAAGAGCAAATTCGAAGTATGAAACGCGGTCTTGGTGACCTTCTCTCCAAATCTCGAACTAACCTTGATGGACAGAGCTCGGAAACATTTCTCTCTCTACCGACGAATACCTTTTCCTCAAGAAGCACTGCGACTACCTCTCTGAAGACTACCTCAACTTCCTCAAGGAGTTCCGCCTTAGCCCCCGAGAACAAGTTGTCGCTACCTTCACTCCCGTCGGCGAGGATACTGGAGATGACTCCATTGTGGGCGACGTCGATATACAGATCAAGGGCACTTGGGTTGACACGATCCTCTACGAAATCCCTATGCTTGCTCTGACATCCGAGGCATACTTCAAGTTCATGGACACAGACTGGAACTACGAGGGCCAAGAAAAGCAGGCATTTGAGAAGGGACTCAAGCTGTTAGAAGCAGGATGCATCACATCCGAATTTGGCACACGAAGACGTCGCGACTACCACACCCAGGCCCTTGTGTTCCGAGGATTGGTGCAAGCTTCCAAGGAAGCTGAGAAGAAGGGATTCCCTGGCAAGCTCTCCGGAACCAGTAACGTCCATCTCGCCATGCGCTTCAACATCCCCCCCGTAGGAACTGTTGCTCACGAGTGGTTCATGGGTGTTGCCGCTATCATCGGTGACTACAGGTCCGCCACTGAGGTCGCACTGCGACATTGGGTAGCTTGTTTCGGCAACAAGCTCGGTATTGCTTTGACCGACACTTTCGGAACTCAAGAGTTTCTGCGAGCCTTCACTCAACCTGTGCAGCCTATTGAGGGTGGCTTCCCAGCAGAGACCTTTAAGAAGGCTGACGGAACCATGAAGACATATGCGGAAACCTTCGCTGGCATTCGTCAAGATTCTGGCGACCCCGCAGAGTACACCAAGTGGATGAGAGAGTTTTACGATAAGCAGGGCATCACCGACAAGAAGCTCATTGTCTTCTCTGACTCATTGAACATTGAGAGGTGTCTCGAATACAAGAAAATTGCTGAGGACCTTGGCTTCCAGCCAACGTTTGGTGTAGGAACGTACCTTACCAACGACTTTGTGCACCTCAAGACTGGCACCAAATCTGTTCCTCTGAACATTGTTATCAAGATCAGCTCGGCGGCAGGCCGCCCAGCTGTCAAGATCAGGTGAGTGCTCTGTGTCTAGGCTCGCAATAGCATCGACTAACTTGTTATAGTGACAACATTGGAAAGAACACAGGTGACAAGGAGACTGTCGAGAAGGTCAAGAAGGAACTTGGATATGTTGAGCGTGAGTGGAAGGAGGGCGACGAAACCTCGCGATGGGGTAAGGAATAAGGGGAAAATAGACTAAGATACCAGGCAAACATTGCCGATTTGATTAAGGAGGGGCCGTATAAGCACCAGAAAAGAGACGGGAAACAGCGCAAGCTTGGATTATCTGAGACCAGTCGGTTATGCTGTAATGCTGGTTTAGATCTGAACGCCGCTCAATCACAGAAAACGATGTTAAACTGAGTTGGATATCTGCGTAGCCTACAAACAAGCTGAATAAGTGGCGAGTCCAAAACCAAACCTCACGCCGCATAGTTCTACACATGCAAAATGCAGCCATGAATCATTGCTCCTCTGAAGTCTCAACGATGGGTGTCAGACCAACCTCTGTCCTCGCCCAAGTGATACACTCTCGCCACTCTGACATATTCATAACCTCAAACTCAGGATCAGGTTCCCACAACATCTCCGAGACTTCGTCCACCATCTTCTTACCAAACGTACCAACCCACCAAGCGATCTTGCCCAATGTGTCAAGCTGCACTCCCCAGAACACCATTAGAAGCAAAGCCACTGGATCTGAGCTCTTGAGCGCTAACCCAAAATCTCGTCCTGCAAGAGCTGGAAATCCTATGGCCATCCCTTTGAAGACATCTTTGGAATCTTGAACGAAGCATGTTTGTATGGCGGAGAAGCTGGTGCGGTAAGAGTTGATTCGGACGCTGGCTTCGGACTGGTCGTTGGCAGCTGAACCAGAAGGTGTTTCGCAGGCTTTGTTGATGATAGTGCTTAGACTCTCTAGAGCTTCTTCTGTTTCCTTGCTCAATGATGTGGGCGTCTCAGTCTGAAGTTGTGTTCTTAGCATCAAAGCCTCTGTAGATCGCGATAAAGCTCCTGATATCAAAGCGTCGAAGTGCTGGTTGGCGATAGAGGCATTTCCCATGAGGAGCTCCCACAATGTGACCATGCGTTCTAAAACACCCTCGTGAAGTTCTTCGAAAGCACTGCATTGGCCGAGAGCCATGTTTACAGCAACAGCAAGGAAGGAGAACATGAAGATCTTCTGGGCATTCTCAGAATTGACGTTCTCAAGCTGTGCTCTGAACGAACGACTTGCTTTATCGTAGTACTCCACGGCCAACTTGGCATAATAAGTGTCGTGGTCTTCTTCAACAACTACAGCACCCCCACAGAGCGCGACTTCGAGAGCTGAGAAGGCAAACATGCCTTGTAGGAGATACTCGTGCTTAAGAGCCCAGCGAGCCATGTCATCTTGAAGCCATTGGTTATCTTCCGGAATACTGGCTAGACTTTTGTAGCTTGATGACGTCCAACGGTGCATGAGTTCAAGTTCTATTCTGCGTCTGGTCTCTGTTGCTGGGAGCTGTGTAGGTGGCTCGGTGAGATATGAGCAGCCCTCTAGATTACGGGCTAGACAATTGGTACAGGGAGGACCGCCCTCGTCACACTGAAGGAATTAATGGAATATTCTGAGATTTGGTAAGGGTATGTACTTTAACATGGCGCTTTTTGCAGTTTCGACAGCCGTGTCGAGACTTGTTATGAGTCCTTCGTTTCATCATGATGGCGAGGAATGCCAGTTGAAGAGCGTAACAGCAGCTGTGTTGGAGAAGAACGGCAGTAAAAGATTATTATGAGATAAGTGAATTCGATTTAATGTGAAGTGGGGAGGATAGATGAGCTGGGTATAAGAGTTGATGTTGAAGCTGAAGCCTGGGATATAGTGAGGTGGCTGTGCTTATGGCTAGTCCCCTCATGGGTATAGGCGAAGCTGACGAATGAGGTTCAGGAGTGCTCTACTCGAACGAAACGAATAGTCCATGCCAAGAAATTCTATCTAATTAGCGAATATTGTTTTTTGAGATTATAGAACATGAATGCATGATTAGATGGATATGGTCTCGGCCTATTGAGACCTGGCTCGTGATGGCTGTAAGTCGGGTGTAATCTTCTTGATGGAATTCAATTGTTCATCTAATCATAAATCTTACTATCCAGGCCGGTTTTATCATACGTTACTCTTTTCATCAATGACTTGTGTGGCACCATCTTTTTGTGGTAGTAAATGTGCCTCCACACATCAGAGTCTCGAGCATCACGCCCAGCAACACACCGACAATAACACCAGCAGTCTCACCAGCACCCACCATCTGCAGGCTAAACTCCAAGTTGATTCCTGACTCGAAGGATTTGCCTTGTAGCACTCGGTCGAAAATAGTCATATACACTGCTCCTCCGCCAAGACCGGCACCGAAAGCCAGTAATCCAACAAGGACTTCTGTTGAGAAGACCAGAAAGATCGAGTTGGTGAGCAAGATGAATGTCGAAGCTCCAATGATTGCAAAAGCGGCCTTGGTACTAGTGGGTCGGAGGAGAAGCGTGTGTGTTCGGGAGATAAAGTTGCCAAGCTGAAAAGCAAGGCCGTAGGTGGTGAAGTAAGAGAAGAACGACGTATACGATGTAGGAAGAGGCAAGGCTCGAGCTATGCCTGGGTATGCCAAAGCCTGAATAGCAAATGCTCCAAACAAAGGTATCATGAATGGTTGAACCATGGCTTTAGTAAGGTTGAGTCGGTTTCTAGTGCTGAGCATACGTGAGAGCTGCTCAACTGGATTCTGGGCGAGCAGAGAAGCATCCTCGACATCAACCTTTGACGCTTCGTGTTGCGCGTGAGGATAGTTGACTGGCGCTCCCGGGAGGATGACAAAGAATGCCACAAGCATGGCACCTGTAAGTGCATAAATGCAGTCAATAAAGTCCCGTAAAAAGGACTCCAACCAAACAGTCAAGACAAATGGTAGGATTGCGCAAAACACAGCCCCGGCTCCAACGCCAGCGCCCCATCCTGCGAGTCCAACACGGCCGTAATACCGCAACATTCCCAGGAACGAGATTTCCATTGCAGCAGCAGATATCGATGCCAGAACTGATGTCAAGATTCGAAGTGGCGGTGCAATATTAGGCGGCGTGACGTTTGTGACGATAGCCACTATGATCCAGCCTGCTCCAATAGTGAGAGGACGCATCCAGTAGGGAACACGATGAAGAACATGGGGCATTAACAGCTTCGTCGCCAAAGCCGGAAGAGTCTCGATGAGAAGAACGATCCATCGCGGATACGGAATGATGAGATAATTTGCTGAATGCACGATGAATGGCACAATCGCATTCACGAGGCCTGAGAGTGAGAGGTCAGTTGAGGCTTCATGTGAAGACATCCGATGAGGTAGTCAAAATTACCGAGAATCGCAAAACCGAGGTACGTTAGCATCGTAACACTCAACCTCGACCTCTTCTGAGGATCCATGGTGAACTCCATCGCATCAAGTCCTCCATGAAAGAGTTAGAATAAAAAATAAAGTGAAGCAAGAAAAGAGGCTTTTCAACAGAGAACAGATCAGCCAATACTTTTCGCAGCCTGAAGTCAATAAATGCAATGTAAGCTTATTTATTTAACCCTCTGCTCTGGCCGAATACGGTTTACGGAGCCCAAAACACCGCGCGGATAAATACGAGAGGCCATGACTCTAATAGACGACCTTGCTTACCTTGATAGGAATTATAGAGCATCTTGTTACGAATCAATTCATCACCAGCGTAAAATGACGTACAGAGATTGGATGGAAGAGGAAGCTCATGTAGAACCTCTTGTTGGGCCACGTGGGGCTGTTTTCAAGGGCACGATGTCGAGTGATTGGCTGTAGCGTATTGTTTCAACGCTAAAGATCTGCGGTGAATAGTGGGTTCATGATGGATTACAGAGGCTAGAGTCATGATAGATAAACTACAGCATCATGAGGAGATGAAGGACAAGATGATGATCATGGATCACGGGGGTCTCTTAGTGTTTCATATCTACTCAATATGATTGTCGCACTCCCGTCAACATGATCAAGGTGATCTGCAATGACCTCGTCTTCAATATCGCATCGCTCGTCCTCCATGATGAGAAGAGCTCCCAATGCTGACCCTGAAGATGCATCATTTCCATCTGCCCAGTCAGCTCGACCTGTTCTGGCTCATTTGAAGCCATCATGGTTCATACCGCGATACCTAAAAAGCTTCAGGTGGATAGTCATCGCCCTCGCATTTACCCTTGTCTCATGGATAACTTATACAAGACTTGTAAGTAAGCCAAATTTCATCATCACCAACTCAACTAACAACATCAGCTTTCTCAACCCCTGAACCACATTCTTCCCGGTCATCATGGCTCATCCACTCTCACCGCCAAAGATCTCAAAGCTCTCGCAGTCCCTCAACGATCCTCCAAACCAAGCGCATCCTGTCGCATGCGTCTCTTCATGCCCGCCGACTCACCACATATCAATCTCTGCAAAACCATCATGTCCGCCGTCGCGATGGGTTATCCCATGCCCATTCTCCTGAACTGGAAGCGTGAATACAATCGACCTGCATGGCACTTTGCAGGTAGTCATATCGCCAAGCTCGAAAGTCTCCTCGCAGCTATCGAAACACTCCTTGAATCAAAAAGCAACGATGTGGGCGAGGACGATGTAGCGGTGTTGGTAGATGCGTATGATATGTGGTTTCAACTTCCACCTTCTGTTTTGCTAGAACGATATCATCGTCTTAACAGGGAAGCAGATGCAAGGATAAGCAAACAGTGGAAAGATCTTGGTATCGGCACTGACTTTCCTGTATCACCACCTCGACAAGACATAATCGTCACTACAGCAAAAGATTGTTTTCCCGATGCATATTCAGGATCGGATCCTCACTATGAGCACTGGCCTGAATCCCCCATGCCGAAGGACATGTATGGACAAGACACAGATAAAGTCCCATGGTCTTTTGATCCAGCGCGCAAATACAAAAATGTCCGACCACGATGTGTGAACAGCGGTCTTATCATGGGTTCTATGGGAGGATTGAGAGATGCTCTGAAGAGATCTAAAGAAAAGATCGATACAGTGGCTATGAAAGGTCGTCAGCTTTGGAGTGACCAGGCGCTTATTGGCGAGGTTATCGGAGACCAGGAAATTTGGCGCGAGTGGATGAGACATGTTGGATGTTCGTGGAATGGCTCTGCTGCTTTCAACGACAGAAGCTCGCTCGATCGTACAGTGGGTGGTATCGCAGATGCGGCCCTCCTTGGGAAACGATTCGAGTTTGGTATCGGTCTAGACTACAACTTCACCACGGCACCACCAACATGTTCCTCCGAAGAAGACGGCTACTTCGTGAATCTCTCAAACGAGACTGACATCCGCGAAGAATCTCAAAAAGCCGGTGTCCCAGGGGATATCCGCATTCACGGTATACCATCCGAGCTAAGCAACATTAAAGACAAACTACTCTCTTCGACAAACTGGGGGACAATCCCGCTCTACACAGACTTCTTCTTCGGCACGACACCAATAGCAATCCATCACAACGCCTACATAAACGGGCTTAAAGGCTTCAGACTCAAGAACTGGTGGCACAGGATGTGGTACTATCCTCACCTCCGCCATCTCATCACCCAACGTCTCCAACAAGCGCCTTCATCTCAAACTCTCGCAGAGATCGATCTTGGCGGAGATAAGATCGCGTATAAATCGCCGCAAGAAGATAAGTTGCGCAAACCCCGTGTGTTTTCTCCCAAGGAGCCAAACTTTACGCCTATAGACTGGGACGCCGTGTGTCAGAAGCCTGGTCACGCTGTGAAGTGGCACGATGAGCTTTTTGGTGACGACAAAGGACCCTTGGCTGTCTATTCGGTGAATTGGTCATAGTCCGTGATTTAGAGGAGAAGGAAGAAAAGTCTCCGACAATAAACACAAATACCTACTTCCTTGAGGCATGTGTCGCACACACAGCAAATCCCTAGATCTCTTGGCGTCGTCTCATGACACATGACAAATCACGGCAAGCCTCGGACCCGAGACGATGAAGTACTACCTTGACCTTTGTTTTTCGATCCGAGCTAAGATAGTAGTCGGTTATAGCTCCCCCTAGTAAGACTATTAGCCCCGGGAACCATCTGGCTCTACGATCTAAAACGCCATAGCTCAGCCTGAATAAACTCCCCCTTCAGATAAATCAGGGACCAGCGCCCGTACGGCGAACCTTAAAAATGTTAGAGTGGTTGTTCGAAAGCCTCATTATCCCCCAAGTTTGTTTCCTCGATAGTTTCAAGCCTCTTATCCCTTGGTCTGGGATGACGGTCTTGGCGAGCAGTATCCATGGACTCGGTGCAACGTTAGACGGGGGAATGGGTTTCTGGGAAAGTGTTGGTGGAAGGGCTGAAACAGTCAGACGTCACTTGGCTGACAATAGCAGAGGAGTACTAAGTAAGATTTGTAGTGTCATGTTTCAATTCAGAGTCGACGTGACTGCATTATCTCGAGTCCGTTGGTTCACAGGCCAAGGAAAAGTCCCAACCTGCCAATCAGGGTATACAACCATCAACACCATTCCCATATATGAACATAAAAAAAAGCTGCTGAAAAGAGCGCTTTGGGTCAATGCCCCGGAGGTTTGTGCTGCTTCAACGGCCAGGCTTCATGATGTCTCCTCCGATAGCCTGACGATCTCACATATACTCCTCACAAAAATCATATCAACCTCCTGTGGCGGCTCCGTGTCCATTAATCTCTCTTCTCCAGCACCTCCTTCAGAGATCATCCTGGCTGTAGCCACTAGCCTAGAGATACAGCGAAGAAGGCCTGATTCAATGTTTCGAGTCGCATTGTCTTGGGCAGTTGCTGTAGATGTTTCCTCCTTGCCGAATCCCATGACTGTCAGGGGAGCACTGAGCTTCTTGGCGAACCGACCAACACTAGGTGAGGGGTTGACCTGAGGTGTGCCTAGGCCTAGAAGCGATGCAGCCTTCTTGGGGATGTTCTCACCCTGCTGTTTCGAGTCGGAGGTCGACGCTCGCTGTCCTGATGGCTGGTTGCGGGGAACCCGTGAAACGTAGTTGTAGGCGACGATATGCGCATACAAGGCATCACAGATGTAATCTGAGCAGCCAGAAAACACATGTCGCAGCGAGGCCCACGGCACTGGAGATGCGGCGGCGCCCGAATGTGTGTTGCTATCATACGAGTGTAACCGCTGACGTCTGGTGCTAGCTGAGTCGCGACCATGTGAGACAACCTTCTTCCAGATTGACTTTCGCGGGTGCAGTGTCGATGAGTCGTTGGCTGGCTCAGACCAAGCGTCGACTGAAGGTTGCCGAACTTTCTTTGAGTAGGCGCGGATTGTTTCTGTGGTCAAGCTAGATGACAAGAGCATTGTTTCCGGGAAGCAAGCAATTGAGACTCGTAGTGTTTCGATAATATCAGGTGGCAGTGGCACGGCCTTGGCCAAGTCGTCAACGGGAATTTGAGGAAGACATGGAGGATTGGAGTCGTCTAGCCAAGATTCGACAGTAGGGAGTGGTGATGGAGGTGGAGTTTGTTCGATATAAACTGTGTCAGGTCGTGACAGTGGTGGGGGAGGTGGATAGTTATCCATGAATGTGTCTTGGTCCTCGATTTCTAGCTCAATTGATCCAAAGTCTGATTTGAGAAGGATTGTGTTGTTGTCAGTCTCGTCGCGAAAGCGCTGGGTGTAAGAGGGTGACTGCTTGGTGTAACCTTGACTGTCCGGGCCTATCCGCGAATCAAAGCTGGGTATTACGATCCGAGGAGTTGTGTCCAATGGATCTGTCGCACTTGTGAGGGATGTTTTTCTGGGGGGGATAGTTGGCGCGTCCATAGATTTTACTGAGAATTGCCTTTTGTGTTTGCTCTGTTTGGGAGACTCGTCAATGCAAGAGCAGGCTCTGTGAAGCCGAGGTCTGAGTGCCTCCATCATGACAGTGATATCAAAGGTAGGCTCGGTGTTTGGGGGTGTAGGAGGTCGTGGTGATAAAGCAGCTGTCTCTTTTGGCGTGGCCAACTGTTCCCGGACTTGAGGCTCAAGCTCATCATCATCATCATCATCGTCGTCAGAGTCAATATCAATCCAGCTGTATTCTTGTCCTCGCGTGGGTGATAAAAGATCCTTGGGCGATGGCGGGTTTCCACTGGCTGATGTGAGAGATGTCGCTGTTGTGACGATGGATTGCTCGCGTAACTTGATAGAAGGCACCTCAATGGCTTCAGAGGATTCTGATGATTCGGACTCCTCGTCAGATTCGATTTCATCGGTACCGTGCCCACGGTGTTCAAGAAAAGACACCATGGACTGCCGCTCTTCTATCGACCCTAAATTCTGTACTCGCACGGATCCGGATTGGTATGGGGAGGTAATAATTCGACTGGGTCCCATTATACCACGATTGACCTGGTCCTCTGCAAACCACACAGGAGCGGA